GCTTAAAATACATATTTATAGAAATTTGTGTAGACTGTCCAAGTTTTTGGTAACATTTGTTTTTTTGCAATATTTGCCTTTCATGAAATGGTAATTCCAAGTATATCTCTAAATGCCTGGCAAAGCATTTGAATGGATTGCATCAGCCATTGTGGAAGATTTCCCATTTTAGACCAGGAGGAATTTGTGGGGTCAAACACTGAACAATGAAAGAGATTCTTGCTCATTTCAAGGCTGAGGAATCCAGTGGCAGTTGAGGGTTTGAATTGTAAATCAAGCCTGTCATCTCCTTGTCAACTGGGAAAAACCTCTACTCACTTTATGTACTATTAGGGTTTGTTATTAGGGTTTTGTGTTGTTTTCCAAAAATTTGAAGGGAAATTAGACTCATAAGGCATTTGTTCTAAGTGAACATTGAATCTGAACTTTGGAGAAGAGGAACAAAAAATAGAGCTGTTTAGAAACTCCTAAATGATTAGATAGTGTCTGCCACAATTATGACTGTATCTAACCAAATTTATGGGGTCACTCAGTGTTTCTCAACGGGTGCTCTGTAGGGATCATAAGTAGCCAGCACATGGCTAAGAGACTGGTCTTCAGTGGCGTCACTGTCTATGGCAATATTAACAGACCGAACTTAGAGTGAATTAAGACGCTTACATGTGAAATTTAATGGAAACTAGCCTCATCTCAGTGTTTTCACCAAAAGCAACTTTGACATCTTTTTTCATGAAGTCTGGTGAACTGTCTTCCCTGGCCATAACTGAGAACGAGTGAAACAAGGGGTCTGCACAACCTCTCGCCTTGCTGAAAATTTGGTTCTGGGCCCAAAAGTTTGAGAACCACTGCCTTAGGAGTAGAGAAAAGGCAAGCTGTTTGGGGTGGTTTATGATGATGATTCAGGATTCATTATCCATTCCACAAATATTTATTGAACGCCTACCATGTCAACTCTACACAGTGGAGCCTGGGGTATGGCGACTGCCAAACAAAACTGGGTTCATTAAAATGTCCCAGCTGGTAAAACAGCAGAATGGGAAATAAGAGGTTGAGGCATGACTTCGGAGGCCCTAATGCAGAGCAAGCTGGCTAAAATCATGTCTGAGTGATTTGCCCCACTCAGTGGATGATAAGAAGAAAAAGATTTGCGGGGCTTTCGTAGGAGTCCGTTGGGGAGAATAGTGATCACACTCTTTGCTGGAAGAGAACCATAATAATAGACCATAAAAAGAGACCTGGTTCTTCACTAATACATCAGACCAGATCGTACTAGTTGATAAAAGTAATGAAGCCCATGTGGCAGAGCGGTACCATTTAGTAAAACCATCACAAACACCCACACAGCAAGCAATGAGCAAGGGCGTGCTGTTTGCCGAGGGTTGAATGTGGGAACTGCAGTGCGTCAAAATAAAGCAGTTGAGGTTCACACACTTCTGTAAACACACCCACTCACCGTAGACTTTATTAATCACTTAAGCCTATTTTATTTTAGCAACTGCCATTTTACCCTAGGACTTTCATTCCGGCACCGTGTTGCCAAAACATTTGGGCCGTGGGATCCGTAGCATATGATAAATTAGTACAGCTTCATTCATGTTTAAAACATAGAATGATAAAATGACAGTAGCACCTCAGTTGAATATACTGCTGACTGACAGCTAAACTATTTGAAGGCAACCTGTATTTCTCTGATTAATCATATGGCTGTAAACGTAACATCCATACCATGATGGCTCAATAAGACAGAGTAAATCTCTACGGCTGGGGCCTATTCCGCCTTCAAGCATCCACACCATAGTCTAAGTCCGTGACATCTGCTGCAGCTCCTATGCACGTTACCCATTGGTTATGGCACATTGTAGCCAACAATTAAGATAAAATAGCTCATGCTGATACCAACCAGAATTGCTAGATTATTCCCATTGTAGGCTTGAACTTACGGAGAAAGTCGGCATTTTGGTGAACCAGCGTGTGGGGTAGAGTTGTGATTATGGTAGAAAAATACTTTCTTCTCATACTTACCTGGCAGGGCTTGGCCCATCTCTCTCCTCACTTTGGCTTTTTAGTGAATCTCTTTCAACCTTCAGTAGTGGCACTTCCAGTCTTGACCACTGCTATTAGTTGGACATTAATCTAATTATTATCACTAATTACTACTTCTGGACGTATGCCGTAAATGCGTTTATATGGAGCTTTCCCTTTTTACTGTCAGATAATCTTAGTATTGGTTTTCTTTTGTTGTATTGGCATTCTTTTGTTACCTTAGCGACTAAAAGTCTTAGGTGGCATCCAAGGAAGACTCACCTTATAGCAGATTCTCCTTTATAAGTAGAGAATAGTTAACGTTATGGTGAGGATTAAGTAACACTTGTCCACAGAACCTCCCCCACCAGCCACCTCCAAACACACACACACACACACACACACACACACACACACCCCACACACACACCCTTAAATACAGAGACCTTTCGGGGCGCCTGGGTGGCGCAGTCAGTTGGGCGTCCGACTTCAGCCAGGTCACGATCTCGCGGTCCGTGAGTTCGAGCCCCGCGTCGGGCTCTGGGCTGATGGCTCGGAGCCTGGAGCCTGTTTCCGATTTTGTGTCTCCCTCTCTCTCTGCCCCTCCCCCGTTCATGCTCTGTCTCTCTCTGTCCCAAAAATAAATAAAAAAACGTTGAAAAATAAATAAATAAATACAGAGACCTTTCTCCATAATTTGGGCATGTCTTACAGGCCTCCTCACTGATCAGTGTGATACAGGAATGAAGGAGCCGAAGATTATGTTCATAGCCTTATTGTAAAGAGGGGGAATTGAGGCCTGAAGCAATTAAATGACCCAGCCCCAGTTAGGCAGATCATGGTCACAGAGACAGAAACGTTCCAGGAAGGCATTTAAAAATTTACTAGAGGGGCGCCTGGGTGGCGCAGTCGGTTGAGCGTCCGACTTCAGCCAGGTCACGATCTCGCAGTCCGTGAGTTCGAGCCCCGCGTCGGGCTCTGGGCTGATGGCTCAGAGCCTGGAGCCTGTTTCCGATTCTGTGTCTCCCTCTCTCTCTGCCTCTCCCCCGTTCATGCTCTGTCTCTCTCTGTCCCAAAAAAATAAAATAAATGTTAAAAAAAAATTTAAAAAATAAAAATTTACTAGAAAGACAAAGCATATTTAATTAATGGATAACTCAGTTACTCTGTTGTTTTTTTCTATCTTGGATCAAAACCACTTTCTCACCCTTTATTTTGAGGCTTAGAAGTGAATCAGCATTCACAGGGGACAGAAGGGATGCTCTGTGATAAGTGATTTGAGAAGTCATTTTAATTGCTCATGACTTTCCTCAGACGGGGACAAGTGGAAAGCTCCTAAAGATACTTGTTTTTTTACTTCTCATTCCACATATAATAGAGTAAAATCATTTAAGCAATACATCTGACCCAGGAAAGCTATAAAATGATGCTAAGTTGCTGCGTTGGTAAGTGACCAGTGGGCAGTCAATCCAGACACAGATCGGAAAGGGTATTTACTGAGTGAAAATTGTATGAAGAGGAAGCAGTGTGAAGAAGAATTTGCATTTGTAAATTTGTTTTGTTTTTTAATATCTGACCAGGAGTGTTGCCTAAGGCAAGTCTTTTCGCTTGGTATTTCAGAAAAGTGAAAGCGTGCACCTGTTTCCCAAAGAATAGATATGAAGTCTGTTAGTGTTTGGGGCAAGGGTATAGTGACAGACAGATTAGCGTTGGGTTTTTTTTGCAAGATAATAAAGCTTCCTTGGACAAAGGGTAACTATTTCTTGAGTAGAAGCAGAGTTCCCTCTTTCAAGGGTGATGGTGACTTGGGACTCCTTTGGTATCACCTGCAGGTACCATTTTAAGGAAGCAAGTTCCTTCCTGTGCTTCAGAGATAAAGCAATAGGCTTTAGTCCATGAGTCCCTGAGAGAGCCACGTCCCGCCAGCAGCACACGTAGCTTATTTAAACTCAACTCTAAAATTGGCAAGAAAGAAAGGTGTGACTTAGAAGACGGTTTAAATTGTGAAACTTAAATTTGCATAGTACTTCATGATGTCTAAAAAATTTTTATGTTGCTGTATAGATCGGTAACCACAAAACCACGTGTATGTACTTTTATCGGGTTGGGGGAGGATTTGTCAAGGTGATTTTGATTATGCTCAAGTTTTGCCTCATAAGCTTCCCTCAGAACCTCACCCCTACATAAGAAAAGACCCACACTCGAATTTAACCTATGCCTGAGACCGTAACGTAAGATTTCTCCCCACAAAGCTACCTTACGCCAGATAACAGCTGCAGATCAGATGGGCGATGGCCTTAATGTAATATTGATTTCAAATCAGCCTGTGCAACCAAATTAACAAAATATCCCAGGTGACGTTTTCCGTCTTTTCTTATTTCTGTTTCTCCCTGCATAACTCGGGTACTTTTTGTGGAGGCATCCGTGAATGCCTGAGATGAAAGGGAATTTAAGATCACGGCTCACCACTGGGGTCATTTGCTGAGCTGGCTGCAGGGCTATTTTGCATCCTGTGGCTGTCCTGAAGCTTGGTGGGGCGATCATGGGTGAATTATGTGACTGCTGCTCAGGGTTGGTCACCACACTGGTGACACCCCCATTCGCTTCCTCCTCTCCCGCCAACTCCAAAGGGCAGGTGTGAACTTTACTTTGGAATCTTCTTGCGCAGGTGCGGTCTTACCAGGCAGTAACATAGTCCAGGTGGTTTTCCAGAGGCAGAATCTCTGCTGCACAGCCCCATGGCATTTTTCTTCAAAGTACAATAAATACGCACTCAAGCGAACAATAGGAAGGCAGACTGCAGGAAGCCTGATGAACTTCAGCGGGACCTGTGCTCACGTTAACGTTTATCTTGTCTAATTTGGGGGTTGGCATTGCAAGGGGCTCCGAGCAATCGCCTTTCTCATGTTTCTTAGGTAGAAGCAGGAGATATTCATGGCTTTCTGTTTTCCTTCCTCCCTCTCCCCGTGACCCTTCAGATTTATGAGGAATCCAAGATGAATTTGGAGCAGGAGAGGCCGTTTGTCTGCAGTGCCCCAGGCTGTTCGCAGGTGAGTGTGAGAATCCTTTGGTCTGTTTTGCCAGAGACTACCTGCCTTCTGACAGGAAAGCAGCTCTCACTTGCCAATCATGCCTGCTGTGGGTTTGCTTTCTTCACCAAGATGTCGTCAAAGCCCCCGTCACCATCCCCGCCCCCCATCATCTTCCTCATCATTATTATTTTCTACTTTGAATAGTTTGAACTACTTCCCTCAAAGCCCCGTGAAATACATCAGCATTGGCCTCTTCCATCCTTAACTTTCCCCCTGGAAGTAAGCCAGACGCATCCTGCCCACCAGATGTTCAGGACTGTTATTTCAGAAAGGGGAGGGAGGACGCTGCTTTTACAATAGTCACTTGATATGGGGCCTTTGGATTACTGGTGGAATAGCTCACCATCAGAGCCGAACTCTGTTTTGTTTTGTTTTCCTCTTTGAGTAAAATAAACCCCCTATAACTCTTCTAGAACCCACAGTTTTTCCACTTATCTAAACCTCAAGAGGGGAGATTAAACATCAAACCTCTTTGCCTCCAATGGCTCCCATCAGGCAGAATCGTTGTGAGGATTAGATGAGATACTGCATGTGGAGTATTTAGTATAGGGCCTGCCCATAATAGGCGCTCTATTAATGTTCACCGTTGTTGCTACTACTGCTGTTGTAATTACGGACCGTGTGGCAGGATTTCCCAAGCTTGGCACTATTAGCACTTGGGGCTGAATGATTCTTCGTTGTGAGGGCTGTCCTGTGCGTGACAGGATGTTCGGCAGCCTCCCTGACCTCTCCCTTGGGGGCGAGGTCCCCTTGGGAGCCACCATGGCCCCCGGTTGAGAATGACTGCCCGATGGTTTGCGTTTTTGGCTTTAGCTTTGTTTCTTTTTGGACCTCTTCCCTTTCGGGTGTCCCCTGATTCTCGCTGATGCTCTCCCAGCCCGTTTTATGTGTTGCTATGAGCCGTCTTTTCTCCTTTTTGGAATCAGGCAGGGTATAAATAAATAATGCCACAGACGTGTGGTCACCGGTGTCAGACGCTGCTAGAGCCGGGGCAGTGAGAGGCTGAGCAGAGGCTGTTGGGTTTGGCTGTTGGGTTCTGGCGGGTGACCTATGAAAGAGGAGTCCGGGCGGGGACCAGGTTGGAAGGGATTAACGAGTGAGTGGGTGGTGAGGCAGTGGAGGTGGCCAGCATAGAGGACTCTTTCAAGAGCACCAGGGCATGACGGGAAACAGAGTGATATAATGGTAGTCTGAGAAGGAAGCAGCCTGAGAGAGGTTCTTTTTAAGCGAGAGGCTAGCCAGGCGGGGTTTAGTCTAGGACGCTGGTAGTGAAGGTTGAAGAGGTGAATTTCCAATGACCTTGAACTCAGTGAAGGAGCAGCCTTCTCCCCTGAGAAGGCTGAGTGGACCGGTTGGACAAAATGAGGCTTGAGGATTTCCATAGTTTCTAGGTTGCCCGGTGAAACTCCAAGCCTTCCCCCTCAACTCCTTGCCAAAGTTAAACGTAAAGATGCATCTGAAACTTGATGTTTTTATTTAATGTGTTTCTTTCTCTTGATAGGCTGTTTAAAAAAAAAAAAAAAATATGCGCAGCTTTCAGCTGAAGACGTGTTAGAATTGAGGAAATGTCATAGTTCCCTAGTGGTTCCAAGGGTCTCCCGGCGGAGTGTTAGCCAATCACGGTCAAGTCAATTGTTGTGATCATGGCATTTACGGTAATGACCGTCCAGAGCCTGGGAACCTGCATAGAGAAGAAAGGATGGCTGGGGATTGGAAAGGGGAGAGTAAATATGAGTTACCAGTGCTTGTGCTGCATTGGGGGTGATGTTTCCCCCTTTTCCCTCAATGGAAAGAAACTTTGCTGCATTAGGAATGGTCTACAGTACCTGGGAGGTTTTTTGTGTCACGGCTCCGTATACATTAGCTTTGTCCCAGAAGTCAAGAGAAACAAGCTTCTTTTGCTCTTTCTGATCTCACAGATTCCATTGTTAATTTCACTGCCCCTTTGCCCTCAGCATGAACATGTTTTGAGTTCCAGTGGCTTCTCTCAGCTGTGTACCTGTTGTAGACTCTACATTTTGGTTATTTACAATTTGCTGCTATATTCCTGGTAAATTAAAAAAAAAAAAAAAAACCCACGATGCCCTGTATTGTCTCTTTGGGGAGGGGTTTATAGTTAACATGGCATACTATGGAGATTATTGTCACTTAATAAGTATTGCGGTTAATATTCTATTATGGGCTGTTATTTTATGGAGCCAAAAAATGGCTTACAAATACGAAGTAAAGGCTATTGCCATGTTGTTTGTTGATTATATATATCACAGTAAAAATTAAAGTAAGGATTTTAGCAGAAAGACTAAGAAGTTTACCCTGTCTATAAACCACACATGGTAGTGTCCCATATTGTAAGGTGTTATAAAGGACCAAGAAAATAGATGAAACTTCATCAAAAACCCCTGTTGTTACAAATCAAACTTCTATGTAGTTAGAAATCTGACATAATTACCATGCTTTGCTGATTCTAAATGCGCCAATATATATGATACAAATAACAAATAAAGAAATGATTTGTATTCCCCAAACTACTTTTATTCCAAAGGATTTAGTGCAGTGAATTCCCTCATTCATATGAACCCAAATCTATACACGTTGCAAAGAAGATGCCTACCACGGTATGCAATAGTGATCGAAACTTCAAATGACTATCCCAAGGGACTGGGAAGCTCCAAGAGATTTTCTAAATTGTCAAGGATTCGGAAATGTTCAGCAGAGTTTATTGCCTTTGGTTGTATTTTCATTTGACTTTGGTAAAGCAGACACTTTGTTAAGTTCAGTTATCAAAAACATACCAGTCTGAGTCAGGGGAGGCTAGGATCTGCTCCAATAACAAATTATCCCGAAGCTTCAATAGCTTAAACCAACAATCGCTAATTTCAATTGCGCAAGCATCCATTTCTATCGGAGCTTGGCAGGACATTCTTCATAATCTTTTAGAATTCAAAAATGCTCTTCATATTCCTGCAGAGATTTAGGAAGATTGAGGAGCCACTATTTCTTATGTTGTAAGTTGCCAGACTAAAGGGGAGATGGTCTTGCACCACGAATTAGTTGCTGACATATGAGTAATGTGTCATTTCCATTCATGACTCCATGGGCAGAACGAGTCACATGGCCCCACCCAACCACAAGAGGGCCAGGAAATCCAGTCCCACTATATGACTAGAAGCCAGACAGCTGAAAACATTTGAGAGCTGCATTTTTGATAACCATAACATCATTCTTTGAAAATTAATAATAAAGTGTTGGTTTACGATACTGTACAGAGTATAGAATCCTAAAAATGATTTGCCATGTTACTATAAGTCATATATGTATACTTATAAAAGATCATATAATGAGTGTACAAAGTCGTCATCAACAGAAACGTTCCAAACAAATGGCATGTGCACATTTGTAGGTGTATGTATCAAATAGTTGAGCATGACGTGGAATTCCTTCCCAATGTCTGACATGAATCAAAATTCTTTTCCTACTTCATGCATTTCTCCTACTTTTGGTTAATCTATAGATAATGTGTAGCATACTTATTATGCCTTAGACTTAATTTTAGACAAAAGTTCCAAATAGTTTTGCGAAACTCCGGGGCTACTTAGGTCTAAATTCATTTTTTTTTTTTTTTCTACTTTGGACATGTTTTTCTCCCACGTAGAGGTAGAAATGAGAGAATTTTACTTGGCTTCTTTGGGAACATAAATAAACATTGAACATTCATTCAAACACTCGAATTCTTTGAAGGTATAGCATATTTCTATTGTATATATTACTTGAATACTTTCAATATTGTTCATTTCTTCTTTCTCATTGGTTCTTTAAACACAAAGTTAGGGTCTTCCTTCAGATGCATTTCCTCGTTCCTAAGGAAATATCTAATTTACTGATGAGTCATGACAGTTGACTATATTCGAAGACTATCTAGGAAGTAGAGGTTTTTAAAAGGAATTCCCAGAGAAGGAACGGGGAGCCAGAGATGATGGCAGGCAAAGGTCTCTATTTCTTATTACTCTTAAGCCAGATTTTACTGCAACTTAGTTAAGCCCCCGGTAAACTATAATGGCAATAATGATGCATATATTTGGGTGCAATTCAAAGGAACATCTCTGCCCATTTGCTTGCAAAAAATAATTTGTCATTTAACTTAGCATGCTTTCACACTTTTTCAGAACTAATTTTTTGTTTTGCCTGTCACATATGCAATGCTGAATACATCTCTTTCTCTGTGATGGCAAATATATGTTATAAAACTAAATGGCTCCTCTCCCCTCTTCCCACCCCCCCCCTTTTTTTTCTATTTGTCTGACAGCGCTTCCCAACAGAGGACCATCTGATGATTCATAGGCACAAGCATGAAATGACTTTGAAGTTTCCCTCAATAAAAACAGACAGTATGTTATCAGGTAAGGAGCCATCAAGCAAAAAGGCTTTGGGTGAACAGCATCAGCCGCACGGGAGATACTTGTTCAACTTATGATAGGATAGTTTCCAATGGCAAATGCCGTGCCTTGAAGACATATATTTCTAAGGTACAGCAGAGACTTAAAATAATGGTAAGCAAAAATGTAATCAGCTAATGTGGTCTTCACTCAAATAACTGGAGAGCTGGGACTTCTCATTTTCAGGAATGTAAAATGTTTATTACTATGAAAGTTGGCTCCATCTAAGTATTTTAAAAATCACATGCCTGTAATCAGTCAAGCAAAACATCTTCACTGAGCATTTGTGATGCACACTAAGCTGTCCTGAGCGCCATGGGAAGTGCCAAGATTGATACGATTTCCGTTCCTGAGGATGTCACAATGTCGTGGACGTGTGAAAATTTAGCCGCAAGGACTATGTTTCAGATGAGTGTTTGGAAAATGCCGTGTGACTTTTGCAGAAGGAACTTCCTCTCTTTCTCTCTCTCTCCCTCTCTCTCTCTCTCTCTCTCTCCTTTGCATTGTGGTGGTCAGTGAAAACTTTTTTAAAGAAACAGAGCCTGCCTCCTAAGTGGAAGATTAAATGAGATGATAATGCAGAGGAACGTAGCCAGTGTTCAGCAAATGTGAGCAGAAATAATAATAGCAATCCATCAAGTAATTGCTATTCCTTCCTATTTTTTTTTTTTTTAATTTTTTTTTTCAACGTTTATTTATTTTTGGGACAGAGAGAGACAGAGCATGAACGGGCGAGGGGCAGAGAGAGAGGGAGACACAGAATCGGAAACAGGCTCCAGGCTCCGAGCCATCCGCCCAGAGCCCGACGCGGGGCTCGAACTCGCGGACCGCGAGATCGTGACCTGGCTGAAGTCGGACGCCCAACCGACTGCGCCACCCAGGCGCCCCTATTCCTTCCTATTTTTGATAGGTGGTGGCGGTAAGTTAAAACAGAGTGCAGGGCCAGGAGTGGGCAAACTTGAACTCTAGCATGGGCTCTGACTCCACCGGCCAGATAACCCTGAGCCACATCAGTGAACCCTTTTGGGCCTCAGTTTCTTTCCACATAGAATGGGAATGATTTTATCTGCCCAGTCTATTTCACAGGCTTATTGTGAAGATCCAGTGAAAGAATGTCAGCGAAAGTGTTTCACAAACCCTGGCAGGGTAATCGAAGTGTTTCCTGTTACCCTTTTAGGCTAGAAATATTTCACCGAAGCCACTGTCTTCTTGGCATCATGAAAGAGATAATATGCCCATAAACATGCTTTAAATGATATCAGAAGAGAAATGGACTGCCCTGGCAGGCCTGGCTCATATAATTTCGCATTTCTATGGCACTTAAATTTTACGAGTATTTTATTATCCCTATTATTAGTAAATCCTCCAAGAGTTTTGTCAGACAGGTTATTATTACAAGTCATATTTTACTGATAGAGAAGAAGGGGCATAGGGAGATGGAGAAGCTCTCCCAGGCTTACCGCCGGGGGCAAAGACAAGGGTCCTTCGTTCTGCAGTCCTAGCCCACAGACTGGCATGGCCGCTGCATTGTCAGGCTTCAGCGGTTTGTATCAACAACCAGACAATCCTGGCGCCAGGGCCATCCACACGTCTCACAAACCCGCCAGTGACTCTTTAGTAGTGTGGATGTGCTGTGATTTAGAAGAATCTCGAGTCCAAAGGCAGTGTCTTTCCTTGCCTCCACCACCACCCGCCACCTCTCAGCCTCTTCGTTTGGATCGAACTAGTTGGCTCTTCAGAACTCGTTTCATCTTCCCTTACGTCTAGAAGCAGAGATGCAGAAGCGTAGATCTGCAAGAATTATAAAAGCCCAGAAGCGTTAGGAGGGATCGTCTGTTCTTTTGTTTTTATCGTTTCTTCTGTTCTGTCAGTTGTCTGTCATTCCCGTTATGAATCGGTGTGACTTTATCGTTAAACGATGAGCATATATATATATATGCAAGTAGCAGGGCTGGAGATGTTGCAATTCCCAATATTTAAATTTATCGGTTCTCCTCTGATTTTTCCCAAGTGGAAGCCCTCAAATAGGCTTCTTAGTGTTAGGACAGGGGGAGGTGTGTGTTAAGGAGTAGAAATGATGTGCAGATACTGCTGCTTAGTGGTAAGGACCAGGTAGTATCTTTCAGGTATACTGCTGGACTGGCCCCACGAGGAGCCCCATCCGAAGGTCCGAAAAAAAGGAACTAAGGATGTGTGAACACATATATTGCCTGTAAACAGATTTTATTTATTTATTTATTTATTTATTTATTTATTTATTTGGAGAGGGGAAGAAAGAGAGAGCGAGATCACGAGCTAGGGAGAGGGGCAGAGGGGAGAGAGAGAATCTTAAGCAGGCTCCACGGTCAGCACAGAGCCAGATGCAGGGCTCGATCCTACCACCCTGGGATCGTGACCTGAGCCGAAATCAAGAGTTGGATGCTCAACCAACTGAGATGCTCGGGTGCCCCTGGGGGCCACTTTTTTTTCTGTTGTTGCAATATCCAATTACACAAAATTTCATTTCAGATGAAGTGGAGCTTGACATAGAAAGAGAAAGTAGGGTATATATGTTTATTACTAATTTCAGAATATCTGGTTAACTTGTATTTTGGAAAATCACCTCCTCCTTCGTTAATTGCAAATACTATAGTTAGAGACATTAGTGAGATGCCACAGATAGGCTTTTTGAAGGTAAGTGTCCAAAGCGTTGTCAGATCTGAAATAATTTCCTGGCTTTGTCATAAAGTCCATTTTATTCATGCCAGGTACAACTTACTACTCAAGATGATTGTAAATGATCTGCGCCATGCCATAAGGCAGAGTAGTAAAAGTGACAGTCATGATGTTTTATTAGCATGAGTGCTCTTATGGATAGACAGTAAACATAAAACCTCAGTTTAAAGAGACAGTACCAGTTGGTACATGAATGGGGTGGTGGTGGTGGATTCTGAGCCAAAAACTTCTAGACCCTCCCACCTTGGCCCTCCCATCCTTATTTGATTCATGTGGTACATTTCCAGAGTCCCGATATGATGATGGACTTGAGTCTTTCCCTTTAGCTGTTCTTGTTGTGAGTGCAGATGATTTCATGGTGAGAGAGGTTGTGATATCAGAGATTTTTAGGGGCCAAGGCAGAAATGGGAGCCGACTGAGAACATTATACTGTCACATACAGGTTGTAAAATCACCAGCTATTATGCGACAAAAGATGTGTTTGGTTTGAAAATTATGATCAAGTTTTAGTATTAGAGCTAAAAGAGTATGGCGTTTGGGTCTATTTTAATGGTATTGTGATTACGCATTCAGGAATTCCTAAATCTCGCCCTGTCAGAAGCCCCAAACCCCACTTATTTACAGAGTTCCCAGGTCCTGTACAGGAAAAAGCCAAAATGGGAATCAAAGTGCAACTTTATTTATAGCCAGACAAGCAAATAATATTCCACATGAGAAGTGTGTGCATGCGTGTGTGTGTGCGCGCATATTGGGAGAGTATGGTGGAAATACTGACCTAGAAGATGACAGATTTTGCTTCCTGAAAAGATAGAGTTTGCTTCATGAAATTTAAGAGTGTTGCAGACCTTTACTCAAAAGGTAAAACCCAATCAACACCTCATCTGAGAAAGAGATACGCAAAACCACACCTTTAAACGCCTCCATGCAAGACATCATAGCCCAATTAATGCTGGAGGCAACTGGTGTGTGTACTTGGAAGGAAATTGGAACAGGCATCTGCTGAGGTGTGGAAAGAGGGGCTAAAGTTGTCTCTCCACCGTCACTTATTCATTCATTCAACAAACACTGAGTGTCTGCAAAGATCCTATTGTGCTAGGTGCTGGGGATGCGGCACTGAACACGACAGATGAGGCCCCACTTCCGTGGAACTTACTATACTCTGCTGGGGGTGGGGAGGAAGAGAGGTAATTGACGACACCCCTCCCCCCAGATTAATAAATAATGAGTTAGTGACAAGTGTGAAGATGAACCATGACAACGTGAAGTAAGTGTCTAACCGGCTGCTAAAGGAGGTCAGGAAAGGCCCCTCCACATTAGTGGCATTTCAACTAAGACCTGATGCTCAGCACTGTGGGCTCCAGTGTCCTTTCTCTTTGTCTTCTGAATATGTGGGGCTGAAAGTGGTGACCCCACAACACCAGATATGGTGCAGCCGAAACACACGGAAGAGAGGTGAGAGAGACTGGCTTCCTCATTCCGCCTTCCTTATTCCCATTCAATGCAGAGATCTACTGTAAATGACAGTAGAGTCCCTCAGAACCCCATTGGGTCCCTGGATTAAGTCTAGCATGAGGGACTATCTCTAATTCCAGGCTCTACACCTAATTCTCACCATGGAGAAAGCAAGAAACAAGAAATTCAGTGAAGTAGAACATGAGATTGATCATGATTAACTGGATGATCTCAGAACCCAAATCCATTGCTCATGGCCGTTTGCTACAAACCTACATAATAATCCATGGGCATTTTAAAGGGAAAGTCAGAGGAAAGGTGACCATCTCATTGCAAATTCTTTTTGGAATGAACTAGGGTCTTAAAAAAAAAAGACTGAATAAGTAAATCTCTCTCTCTCTCTCTCTCTCTCTCTCTCACGTGGGTGCGCATGCGCATGCACACACACACACACACACACACACACACACACACGGACCGTACTTACCTCCTCTTCCATTGATGATGAAGGTACATAGTGACTTCCCACTACTGAAATTCATCAGATCTCTATGGAACAGAGGGTGGCGGAAATGGCTTTGCATTGGAGGGCAGCATGATAATAACAATAGCTACCATTTATTGCCTTGTCTTATACCTATAATTGTGCCTCCTGCTTTATGTACATTATGTTATTTAATCCTGGCCACTTTTTTCACACAAAGAAATAAGATCAGGAGGGTAAGCAGTTTGTCCAAAGTTCCTGTCTATAATTTTCTCATTGTACATCTAGATTTGCTGAGCTACATGCACTAAGA